TTTGAGAACTTTTTTAAACAGAAAATGGACACAAGTACGAGATATGCTAGGGAGACTATTATTCGCAACCGGCAGCTAGAGACCATCACAGATCTTCAACTAGCTCTTCTTTCAAGAGTCATGTCAGGAATCATGAATCATCATTCATGTTATGAATCAAACAAGAGATGTTTACTAAATTAGAAGCTGAACAATCACATGCAGATAAATCGCATTTCGCTTTAATTTTACTTTCTTCTACAGGGTGTTCAAAATGTATGCTATAATCCAACTCCTAGTTTTACCCAGGATAATTATAAACCAATTCAAGATTTTGCTTAAAAACTGCCTGGAATAATCCCCAAAATTTATCCAAATTGATTTACAACTGAAAGATTTTTTGATTGATTGATTGATTTACAACTTGCAAATAATTTTGGATATATTTCGTTAATAGACCAGGTTCCGAAAACCATTAGTTTCCGATCTACAGGGTGTTAAAAAATGTTATGTATTAATATTTCGGAAACCGCTTTGAATATTATAATGAAATTTGAGAGGCTTAGGCAACTAAGAACAATACACGTTTTGTGATAAAAATGTTGTTTCTATCTTTTCCAGTGGCGTGGGTACAGGCACGTCTGTATATAATTTTAAATAAAAAAATGTAAAGAATATCTGCATATTCAGCATTGGAAAACTCATCCATTTCAACAAATAAAGTTTTCAACTTATGTAAACTTACTCGAAATTACATAAATCGCAAAAAGAAGGTGACAACTAAAGTTAATCAGACACTCGAAATGACATCAATTATTACTTTTGTCAATAACTGACAAAAACTAGTGCAGAGCCGAGTGATTTTAGAAAAATCAGTGGCGTAATATTTTTTCTATTTAAAGTTATCTACAGACGTGCCTGTACCCACGCCACTGGAAAAGATAAAAACAACATTGTTATCACAAAACGTGTATTGTTCTTAGTTGCCTAAGCCTGTCAAATTTAATTATAATATTCAAAGCAGTTTTCGAAATATTAATACATAACATTTTTTTAAATTAAAACTTTAACACCCTGTAGATCAGAAACTAATGGTTTTGGGAACCTGGTCTATTAACGAAATATATCCAAAATTACTTGCACTCTCACCCCCTGCAAGGAATGCATCTACTTACCAAACACCCTGTATATGATTCTGCTTCTAAATAAAAAAAGTTTCGTGAGAACTAGATCTAATCAAGGCAAAACGCTTGGAACGAACTATTCCCACATTAGTAATGAACCAAACGTGATCTTAGGAATAAATATAGTATAAATAAGGTAATTAATTAGGTATAATAAGAAAGCTTTTGCTAAATAAATAGGAGACTTACGAGAAAGTTTTTAAAAGTTTACGGTAATCAAAGATTGGGCGGATTAACAGTAAGTAATAAATGAAACAAATTTACCCCATAAAGAAAATTACAGAGTAAAACTTTATTGAACCTATCCAGTATCCACAACTGGACGTATTTCCGCATAATACAACTGACAAATCGTGACATGCGATTATGATACAGAAGTCCTCCAAATTCCTATCAACATAAACTAGGGATTAGTCGGGACCCAGCTCCTGTATCCGATTTCAACCGATGACGTTCCCGGCTTATCTCAAAAGTAATAGGTTATATTACCGGGTGGCATGCAAATTAACTGAGAAAATGCTGGGAATTCGGCTGAAATTCCCAAAGGCCTCTTGATCGAGAGCCACTTCGGAAACGTAATTATTTTAGTCTTTGATAGGATCACGATAATGTAGCAAATTGGAGAAACTGACTAAAGGGCTTTAGACTTTACTAATCCCACGTCGATTAAATTATGTATTTGAAGATGTATCGGTTGAGCAATATAGTTGACAATGATGAAGGCAATCGATGATTTAATTAGCTTGCTAGAACTGTGTAACGCTTCTTACCGTGTGTATGATGATATGTATTTTGTTTTTGCCCCAATCAAGCTACTACTACTGACTTTTCACTTAAACTAATTCAAATATCATCTAGATCGGCCGAGACATAATATAGGTGTCTTCCATTAGAAGGACGGTATTTTGTAGTTTGAAAGTTAAGTCAGGAATAATATTGAAAAAATTCCTATCAAGTAAAATCAACATGTCTTTTCATAGGCTGCTAATGTTAATCGAACAAGCTTAATTCCTTAACAGCCACACTACAGTCTGAGGAAGCAAACTAACAACTAATGATTAGTCAAGAGTCTAGAGATGAAAAATGTGACATAAATATGTTAAAGTTTTCTTTCTATGTAATGGATTCTCGTCCCTTAGAGGATTTAATATGAGCTACTTTATTAACTCATCACCCAGGATAGAATCTGCTAGCAAGCTTACTTGAAAATAATGATTCCTATGAAAGCTCATTCAATGTGACGACCATCACGAAATAATTCCTCGTTTTAAATATTTCGACGGTAATTTAAAATTGGTGAATGTCACTTTTTAAATTATCCGTGATGGTCCTCAACTCAAGTGGCAAAATTTGCTGATATATTGTTTAAACAAAAATTTTGCGTTTTGGGCAATATTTTGTGCCTTCCAAAATGTAACAACCATTTTCTATATTTTTAGATAAATTTTTAACCAGTTTTACTGTTACCAAAACATTTTCTTCTTGGCGGTTTTCTAGGTCGAGAATCCAAATTTCCTATTATTTAGCTTCTAATTCCTAGAACGTGCTACCTGCAATAGTCCGAAGCCATTTAAAACATCGGACATATTTTGGATTTTCCAATATCGCTATCTGGCTGGCAATACCTGATTCTCCAATATTTTTATAACAAAAAATGTGTACTTGGTTTAAGTCGATATCTCTCACCATTTCCCAGATATAGTGCGAAAAGAAGAGACCTTCGAAACAACAATAATTGTTTTTCAATACGATCATATAGTTTATAAAAGAGTTAATCAATAGTTAATCAATGTACTGACATATTGAAATGAGAGGAGTTTAGGTTTATCAATTTTACCTATCCATCTAATTAGCTTTCTTCGGTCCATCTTTGCACATGGGCTTCCCCCAGTCTTTTCCTCTCTCCAGAGTGCTTCTTCAGGTCATCTTCCAGGGTCTCTTTTCTCTCTACTTCTTCCAGGGTCTCCAGTTCAGAATAAATTTGTTCCATCGTTCATTACTTACAGAGCTAATTTGAGTTACCCAGTTCAAAAATCACTAGAGGTATAATGTGAAATTTCCCAAACAGGGTTAGAGATATTGACTTGAAACTTGACTTGAAACAAGTACACGTTTTTTGTGTCGGAAAAAGAGGAAGATGAGATAATGCGAACAAAAAGGCGATATTATAAAACCCAAAAAATGTCTGATGTTTGAAATGGCTTCAGACTCTTTTCAGACTCTTGCACTTAGCGCGCTTTAGGAACTGCGCAACAAAATAATCATCGTTAAACGGCCAAATTTTCGTTAATTTGATACTGGCTAACTTTTTATTGCTGTAGACGATTTGATTTCTGTTCGCAGCCTTTTCTAGTCCAATTCTTTTGGGGTCAGCTAGTATATTTGGAAAAATTTCGTGCTTTACATAAAGTTTGTAGAGCGTGAAAAATGAAGCAATACAAAATTTCTCAAAATTGGAGTTGCTGTTAGTTGAACACAAAAACTTAACTTAACTTACCAAACCTACTTAGATAATACTTCATGATCAAAAGACATAAAAATATAACTCATATTTCGAAACAATTTACAGTTTTTTTGTTTACCTATCTTTTTAACAACAGGGTGAGCTCAAAACCTCAACTTTTTAGTTTTACAGTAATAACATTTTTCCTATTAGACCCGCTTTCCGAAATCTGGAACTCATATTGAAATGAAAACTTGGTCTATAGTCGACTTCAGACAAAACTTTGATTTGCAGGGTTGCATGAATAACCACTTTAATTGAAGGTCTAACATAATTCGGAACTTCGGACCAGTTCTGACTGGGGTCACTTTTAATTCAACTCTGTATATTGAATTTCTATCTTAAGTCGACTAGGAATTTTTAGCTTCAACATGGGGTTTTTGTTCCGAAAATCAGTCCAATAGTCCAATTGTCCCCCTGTAAATGAAAGAGATAGGCAAAAAAAGTAAAAAAAGGTATCGAGCTAATTATAAAACTTTATTTAACGAAACCGTTTTTAAAAAGCTTTATTTAATTTTAACAGCGAATAAGCTTACTACTTAATTCCACAAGGTGGTTACAAAGAATGAAAGAATTATGTATAACAACCAAATGAAGTAAACGCAACTGCTGTCACGTCAAATGCTGATGCCTGGTGTCTTCTTGGTATTCTGCTGATGCCTGGTGTCTTCTCGGTACTCTGGTTGCAGAGTCAGTTGTTATGGCTATGTAACTAGCTATTAGGTTTTTATTTATACTTTTGGTGTTTAAAGGCAAAAAAATATGTTTGTGTTCAACTGGGAGCATGCCAAATTTTCATCACATTGACATTGCTTCATTTTCCACCTTGTATCAAGTTGATTAGAAGCACTAAACTCTTGCAAAAACACAGATGGACAGAAAAATAATTGAGCTAGGCAACGGTTGAAACAAAAATAAAATCCGTTGCATCAAATAATAAATCGGAAATTATCCAGTTCCAAAGTTTGACTTTGTAAAATGCATATATATATTTTATTGAGCAGTTTATTAAAGAAAACACGAAAAAAACCCATTGTTTTAGACAATTAATTATTTTGAAGGTTTTGATTTACTACCAGATTAGTTACACCAGCTAGTTATAAAATATAGAAATTTCAAATACAGCTAACTTTTACAATAAAAGMAAATTCAAATACAGCTAAGAAGAAGATTTTTTCTACTAACGCTCACCTTGGAAATGCAAAAAATGTCCATTTAGCATTCGTGAAGAAGTTTTTTTCTAACATGACTGCACTTTTTAAAAAATTGTAACTTTTCACAGTCAAGTTTAAAATATTTCCTATAATCCATTAAAAGCATCTATTGGAACTACTCTTAAGCGTGTTCTTTGACCTACATTTATCTGAATGTTTGGCCTTACTATTGAAACAGAAGTTCGGGTCACCTCGTTCAGAACATATTTTGCTTAAATTATAAAATATTTTCTCAATACGTAGCAGTGTTTTATACGGCTTATTCGATGAACCCAAGCAGTTTGCTTATTAAAGAATAACTATTTTATACACCAATAATTTCCTTTCCACTTCTGATAAAACATTGTTTTTCTTTACACTTGCTTCCAGTTGTAAAAAGCCAATTATCAAATTATTTATTCATAAAAAAACCTGCTTCTATACAGAACACTTTGCTCATGGAACAGATGTACTATAAAGTATTCATGGAAGATCCAAGAGTTTGCTATATAAATACAACTGGAAAAAGGTGACCGTTTGATTTCAAGTTATTCTATCACAGAAGAAAGAAGCATGCAGTAAACCAGAAACATGACCATCATTCGTAGTGCAGACAATGAACAATTCATTAAACTGGCTAAAGTTGCTTTGATATCTACTGGAGTATGGATCATGCCTATTACAGAAAATCGGAGTGTTGCTTTTGCTTTTAAAATTTACTCATTATTTATGAAAGGCAGTTGCGTGATGTATTTTAGCCTGCTTTTCGCAGAAACCATCCGGCTGATAATCTTTAAGTATGACATGGATGTTATACTTGCATCTGTTGGTGTACTGTTTAACGCTGCCAAAATAATGCTGAAAGTGTTTATTTATTTGAAATACCACATTCTGGAGCATTTCGAAGATGTGATTGAAAAAGAACGGGCCCTATGGAACTCGGACAATGAAGAACTGAAAGCATTGTATCGCACTAAAGTTCGACATTGCAATGTGTTTGTGATTACTGTGTTCACCAGCTCTCTTATGGCGGTCACTGCATTGCAGCTTTCTGGTAAGAGTCGAAGAATTTTTTGTTACATTTTTGTTAGACATACATGTAAACTGTCGAACTTGGATATGACAACAACGTTTTAAAAAGTTAAATTTTGGTCAATGTAACCAAAATTGCTTAAGCGTTTACCACTGAGGTAAAACTGTCAGTCTCGGGTTCTCACGGTTCGCACGGGTCATATTCCTACGGGTTTTTAGACCTTTGTTTTCAGCTTACAGCAGGAATTTTCTTTCATTCCACAAAAATATAATTTGTATTATATTTTGTATTCGTTTTTTATTATTGAGGCCACTAAAGTTTGGAATTAAATTCCTATAACTGAAATGATCCAATGAAAGACTACCTTTGCTTCTGATTGTAAAGCTGATGTCAAAGGGCATATGTTCATTTACTTTTTTGCATTGATTTAATTCAATGTTCTAATTCTATAAATTTTTCCAACTATACAAATGGAGCTGACGCAAATGGCATAGTTTTTCCTCGTTAGATTTCGGGTAAAAAGTCGGTATCGGCTCTTTCTCCTGACAAAACGCGCCCTGAAAATTTAATGATTTCCTTAGTTATACATGAATGTATTTTTTCCAAACTAATAATTCAACACGCAATATTCAAGACTTTGATTTTCTGCTTGATTCAGGAGTTCGGAGGTCTCTTTTCAGTAGGAGATTGAAACACGCTAAAGCTAAACCAGGCCTTTGTCCCATAAAAATTCGCAAACTTTTAAAAATGTTTGTGAATAGAAATAACAAGGCCTCAAAAATCCTAACAATGTGGAATTGGAAACAATGTTCAAACAGTCTTATTTTCGCATATCAAATAGGTACATAACCAATGATCTTATATTAAAATAATATTGAAAGTTGAAAGCAGCGACAGAATTACAAAGCTGAACAAACTTCACGCCTAGAGAACAGTGAGAATTAGTTGAATGTTTGCAAATAAAATATTTGTTAGAGCTTATGAAAACTAACATTTTTAATAAATCGCAAGTTTTGCAAATGGTGAAGCTCCAAGGTTTTGAATAAAGCTGTCTAAAGGCAAATTTCAGAGTGATGGGGCTTCTCACTAATAATAAAGTAATTAAATTTGCTAGATGGTGTTTTTCTCGCTAATTTATTATTTAATGTGCGTAATAATATTTGTACTGTTTCTATTAATAATTTTAGTCAATATTATTAGACCGTGCTTTATCAGTGTGTTTCATTTTGGGAGAAATTTATGCAGTTCAGACTCTTTCGACGAACATTAATCAACATTGTAAGACGTAAATTGTTCGAAGATAATAATATTTTCTGAGTAGTTATAACCATAAGCATTTGATTATCCTACTAGTTATAACAATAATTAGCTGATCTGATGTTGTTTGAATTCTAGGTGCATTTACTGCTTTTGAACTTGCTGAATACAGTAAAGCAAACAACATAACCATAGAACCGCATGTAATGTATCAGTCACTATTTCCATTCAGCAAATTGGATAATCTTTATTGGTGGCTGGCGTCGCAAGCCCTGTGGTGGTGGGTTGGACTAACTTACAATACGATGACTCATGCGGTTTTTGCGATATTACTAATATACGCAGCAACTCAATTAGAAATATTGCAAATACGGCTAAGAAATTGTATTGAGCCGGAATTTAGTGAAACACCCAGTCAAATGTTGATCAAAGAGAAGGTGTTGTTGTTGAGAAAGCTGACGCAGGATCACAAATATGTTATTGAGTAAGAGTTCATTTACAATCAACTTTTACTCTTGAATGATCCGAGTAACCCAGGAATTTGCAGCATAGAATAAGAAAAGTGGAAAAGATTTTTAATATCCATATTTTAAGATTGTTTGGAAAACTTTTTTCGAAAAAAAATTGTTCGAATTTTGCCATCTTTATAGATAAAGTTAAAAAACAAATAAAACAAGTCAATTAGAAACCAATAGATGCAAACAAATATACCAACGCCGTGGGATTAGTCTTGCGGGCCAGATCAAAATTTGACTCCCATCCGAGAATTGATTAACCAATTTGATAATTTTGTTTCTTTTAGCTACGTTAAGCACTTTAACGAATGCACGAAATACGCAATTCTTTTAGAATTCCTGTTAACTTCGCTTGATACAGCATCAGTGTCAGTAAATATAATAAAGGTAGGTGCTAAATAATTCCCATATGTTGCAACCAAATGTATTATACGAGCCCTAACAACTATATGTTCGGACGATGTTCAATGAGTGGAAAATAAACCATTTATATTTAGTTTAAATATATTTTTTGTTCGTCTACTGAAAAATAAACTTAAACTATATGCTTATAATGGATTTTTGTTTATTCTGCTTTTTCTCTGTAGCAAATTAGCAAACATGTAACAAACTAACTGACAAATAAATATTCGGACGCACTTTAATACAACTATATTAAGGCGAAGTTTAATAAGAAGTAACATCACCTTTCGGCTTGTAGGGGCTTTCAGATTTGCTTTTGAATCTACTAAAGTCCGGCAATATTCTGAAGTGAGCGCATTCCAAATTTCAGCTGCTTCTGCTTTTAATCCCCGTCTATAACATTCAAGTGTGGACTGCTTCAGAGTCACGATGAAACTTTGAAATTTGGATCTCCATACCACTTTTTGATCGTTTTAACTATGCGTAAAAGCGCACAGTCCTGTTCAAATATGCAATTTTTTATTTCAAAATATTATGCCATAGTTCGAATTCAACTTCCTAATAAAATTTGTTGATACTTTTCTGCGTTTACAGTTCCATCAACAAACTCATATTTGCCAACGCGTTTACTTCTCATACATTCCCATGTAACTTCATGGAGAAAATTTACTCTACGCTTTAGACAATGGTCAGACAGGTTTTATGAAAAGCCTCTGATTTTGTTCAGATCACTTTTTCAGAAAATCACTTACGCATAGGATAAATTTTTTTTTCCCACTAAAAATAAATTTACTACGCATTACCGTTGTCCAGGGTATTTTAAATTTAGCTCATTTCAAACGGTGCTTTGCCTTTGCCTGAACCGAAAGCAGATAAAAAAATTTAATTACATAATATTTTATATTGAACTTCATAAAATAATAAAAGGTTTTTATAAAAACTATATCCAGATTTATGCAGCCATCCATTGCATTCGCACGATGCATTTAAAGTTGCTTTCTGATTTCACTGCGTTGGCTTTGTTTTAGGGTGCCGCCTCTGTTGGAGAAGTACACAAAGTTCTTCTCTTTCAGGAAATAATACGGCGTCGGCCTGAACTTTTACCACGAACAGCATCCCGAGAACTTTTTTATAACACAATGAACAACATTTAGATCATTAGAAATTTTCTGCATCGATTTTGCTTTTCTGTATTGATAAATTATAATTTATTGTAGCGCTTTATCTGTTGCCACCACGCGCTATTTTATTATACTTTCATTTTCATGTGAAAGTATGAAACTTATCCAGCTCATACTGATATATATTAATCTAAACCAGAATGCTAATCTAAGCCAGAATAAAAGGTATTTCCTCCCAAAAATTGTTCAAAACGGAAATTAAAAATCTGGTAATAGGTTTGGAATCCTATAGTTTAAGAGAGTTTTGTCCCGTTGTGTGAAACTGTGTGCCCCTTTTGACGTCATTTCATTTTGTGTTTGTCCATGATTTGAAATAAATCATTATTATTATTATTATTAGTATTAATATTAAACACGCTTAGTTTATTAGCAGATGCATGCGTAATAGTGATTTTCCTGGTCAATCAAATACCTGTCCTAATATTTATTTGTAATAATTTTTTTAACATTTCAACTATTTTCATTTGTAGTTGTTGAGAAATGAAAAATGAATACGTTAACATCTTACTGTCTGATAGGGAACTTGTATGAAACCCTATTTTTCGTCTACAAATGGAAAAATTATATTTAAACATTAAATTATGAATGTTAGTTGTTAGGGCTCGTAAATGGGCAGCAACTACATTATATAAAGAAGATTAGCAAAATAGCAAATATGTAATTAAATCGTGCAACAGGACTTCATATGATGTTGATGTTTGTTCGAATTCTAAAGTATCTACACAATTTTTCCCAATTTACGAATATATTTAGGCACCTAAACAAATTTAATACCTATTTAAATGATTTGACAAGTATCTAAATTTCAACCGAAATTAACTACTTTTTTGTGTAATATTTACTAGATGAAAGGTGCTGAACTTAGTTGGCTGCTCTCGTTTCTTGTTTTACTGGTTATGCAAATATCGCTCATTGCTTGGACATGCAACGAAATCCAAGTCCAAGTAAGTGGATAGTTCAGAAATGAGCTGATTAAAATCTAAACCTATCTTAGCATTAAACTGTTTCCAGAGCATGGCAATTGCCGATGCAATTTTCGCAAGTAGATGGTATTGCTTGTTGGACAAAGAAGCAATTGCGTACGTTCATTTTATGATCGTTAGAGCTCAAAAACCTTTATTGATGACAATTGGTCCGTTTGGTCCTATGACTACTGCTTCTGCTCTTATGGTAAGTCTAGTTGCGGAGTATAAAAAAATTATAATATCCAATAATTAATTCATTGTGTTAGAAGTTGTAACAATCAGCTAATTAATCGTGCATATTTGATCCAGTTACAGCGAATTTCCAGCCACTTTGCATCCTACAGTATAGATACAATATTAAGATACACTCAGTGCCTAACTGTTTGATTTAAAATCACACATTTCCGAAAAACATTTTTTAAATTAATTTGGATGTTAGTCTTATATATATTATTAACGGAATTAACATTGCAGGTTTTCAAAGCTGCTTATTCCTATGTCAGCATCATGAAGGAATAAGTCAATTTGCTGAATCAACACACTTCTTTGCTTCTACTGGAAATTTTAGCATTTAATCATGGCATTTTAAAATGCATTATTTTGTTGCAAATTTGATATAATAGACTAGTACGAGCATCCTACTTGCATTTTGCATTCATTTTCACAATCTGATTAGCGCGGATGATATAGCTTATATTTTTTGGTTATAGCGTATAGGTATTGAAGAACTTTTTATCGAATAGTCCTGTTCATTGGTCTGCCAAAAATTCATATAAATCAACAATTGCTACATGAAATGCCTAGAAATCCTTGAAAGGGCAATTCTAAAGATGGTTGTATTCGCAAAATTGTCTGAATGGTTTATGATAAACATTCCAAAGTTATTTAATTGTGAATTGTTTCCTTTTAATCAAGTTGACGAATTACATATAGTTTTATGCGATAAAGTCAATTTTATTATCAAGCATCGCCAAATGAGTTGGTTTAAACCACTGCATGATTAATGTGACACAATAGTTTTAAATCAATATTTTTTGGAGGCATTTCTTAACTATCACGAGTTTATCTTCAGTATGTTATCGTTTAATAGTTTATAGTATTAATAGTTGAACTGGGTCGAGTGAAATTGTTCAAAAACAACAAACGTGGATACAGGTTTAATATGAATGTCAACTATGTGATAAAATATATCCTAACGTAAAGTTTTTACAAGTTTCCTGAGCAAAATGAAAACTATTTAAGACTGTCGTGTCTTTATTACAAATGAGGTAAAAAAATGCCGCGTGTTTCTTTTTTCCAACATTTTATAAAATTGAGTTTTTTGCTATTAAGTGAACACAGACACGTGGTGTACAGTAAAAACAACCTATTGCAAGAAGGTTCATTTACGAAAATATATCTCCAATGGGTCATTGATCATCTTGTATGATCTTTTAAGTAGAACTAAGCCCAACCTAATAATACTTTTACATTTAGTATATTTTGAAATTGTGATTATCTATTATGAAATGTTTATGTGGAAAACGGTTTAAAATGTACTCAAAAAAATAAACTATCCTCTTCCATACAGATTAGAAACCGGCTACGGAAACGGAAACGGAAACGGAAAGTTTTTTGGACCATCTCACAAAAGCTTTTCTTCAGTAAGTCTGTATTGATTCACACATAATCAACACACCTTAAATATTTATTGCAGGCTAAGACATACAGGGCGTTTTTTTTTAGTGCGAGAGAGTCCATTATTTCCGATTAATTTTTGAAAAATAGTTTCATATGAAAGTTGTTCACGCACAAAGTGAGCTCATTTTAAAAATATTTTATATGAAACAGAGTGTCCAGAAAAGACTGACACTTATTTATTGAATTTCATAGCCACCTTACAAAATGTAACAACTTTGTGAACTTTTGAAATAAAATAAATTATATATTGAAATGGTTGATTTCACAGCTTAAAGTGTAAATGCAAATTTGTAACTTTTCAAATTGTCTATCTAATCACATACAGGTACTTCCATTTGAAAACAAAAGTTACCTTTCGTTAGTTTTAGATTTAAGTCCACATTGTTAACACTCTGTGCAATATTGTACATTGTGCTGATATGTAGGTTCAATAGAATTCTTTACGGATCTGTGGTGATTGGAAAGACATATTTTATATTTTATATTCTACAAATAATTTTTCGATACCATGTTTTTAAGCAAAATTTTACTAAAATGGCGATAATCAGCCAACGTCGCAAGTAAGAAAAAAACAATTTATGGTGCATATGCAGCGTGTCACGCTGCACTCCATGAACTAATAAAATATGGGTAGTTCTATTTAAAAAAATACACTTTGATCTTGTGTCGCTTTTCTGAGACACTCTGTATCATACAAAATATTTTTAAAATGTGCGCACTTTGTGCGTCACCAACTTTTATATGAAATTATTTTTTGAAAACCACCCTGTATGTTTAATAAAGGATATCACATTTGTTTACAATTTGAACATTTTTCTACAATTTTCACAATATTGAATTGCAACTGCTACTTCAATATGAAAATTTACTCAGCAATTAAGGATCAAGTGATTTATTTATACGTTGCCCAAACATAACTCTTTAAACGTTGAATTTAGGGGACAACTTTCATTCCCAACATTCGTCGCTTTGAAAATTCTAAATGTTTCGGTGCCTAAATTTACTCCCCCTCCACTTTAAGCTTGCAGCGGTTTATGTTCAATTTGATTTGATTTTTATAACAGCCATGCCTGCCTATCCTATAGCGATCCGAACCAATCCAATGCAAATTAAATGCTCTAAATGACCGAAATCGGGTAATTAGTTTATGGGTTCGAAAGCCGTGCAAAAATACAAACAGTATCACGTGCTTTGATAAAAATCAGTAATTAGCAACAGTAATTATAGCAACTAACGAGCTTTTTTGGGCTCCGCACAGATTTTAAGCCCCCAGGATGAGGGAAACGGCCCGAAAGCGGTTCGCCTCATTTGTTCTGGCTGATTTGTGTTTTTTTCCACGCAAATCCGTTTATAAATTGGTCCTGAGTTGGTTTTTATTTTAATGCCGCGCGCTATCATATCAGAAAAGCTGAGATTTTAATGCGTTGGATGTGAAATACAAAGCTTCTGGCTACGAGATTTTAATCCTGGGGCCAGTTGACGTGAATTTATTGTCCGGTTTTATTCGTGTCCGGGAATTATAATTTTAAAAGGCTCCTTTAGGATTTTGTTACATTGCATTTTTGAATATGTTTGCCACATGAAAAAGTTATTTATGTAAATCCAATTTTGGAAAACAAACCACATATTTATGGTCGTTTGGAAACTGGGCGAAGAGTTGGGGCAATTTTTTACTGCAACAGTTAGATATTTTTTAACTTCTTCACATCATTTTCGGTAGCAATAGATGACATCTACATCTACCAACATTCCGCCGAAAAAATAATGTTTTCATACTATAATTAATAATATTGTTATCGTACTGCTAACAACAGCCGATCAAATAGCCACAAGCTCAAAAAACTTTGTAATTGATTATTTACCTAAAGTGCTTAATTAAGCTGATAAAAACTGATTAATCAGATTCGCACCAGCAAGAAGTCATCCATGGAATGTTTTAACATAAACAACGTTAAATAAAATCAGTCCCTGTACTGATGCAATAATTCTTTATTTGTGGACAGTCTCTTGAACAGCACGCATTAACTTCAAAAATCAATTTTTAGAAGTTTGCCAAACAGCTCTATTGGTTAGTTAAAGAAGCCTTTAAGATATGTGATTTTTTTAAAGCATTGTTATCACTTTCACATTTAATAAAGCTATATGTGGTCAGAAAAAATGAGCTGAAAACTTTGTTGCACTTGCAGAAACACTTCGTAACAAACAGGAAGTTGGCTTAAACATGAACCCAGCGGCTACTAGTTCCCCATTGTCTTTTCATGTTTTATGTTATCGCACGCTAGTATTTCCTAATTTATGAATTAAATTCTTAATTCATGTATTCAAGTTCGTGAAACTTACTACTTGGCCATATCTTGCAAACCACTTAGGGTGCGCCTACATATTTTATTGAATTTATAGCCAGGCTTATGCACCCAAGCTAAAGTTAAACATTTACACGGTATTCTCATTTCGTCTCATTAGTAATTGATTTTAGTGTTGTTCGTTTTAGTTTAATTCCACCCATAATTTATGACCTGGGGTTTTCACCTATATCCAAGTTTATAAAAGCACAATCTCCACATAATTAGGTAGGTTTACTTTGTCAGTTCGAAAACGATTTGTACAAAAGTTTCCTGATAGACGAATTAATTTATAAACCGTTAAATTTATTAGCTGATTGTGTGTGGGCTTGATTTATTTTATTTAACAGTTAATATTCTATAGTTTCTGAAAAGCGTTCTGTTCTAAGTACACTACAGCTACTCACGCACCCCAATCAATAAAAGTTTAAGTAACATAACAGACAACTCACTGTCGCATAATTATGATGAAATCGCGAAACACACACAACAGTTTTCCAAGTTTAATTTGTACTTCTGCACTGTAAAACTTTATTGCAATAGAGAATCTATCAGCTATCAGCAATCTATCAAGAGAATAATCTTACAAATGTTTGCCATTTTTTCAAAGCCAAATCATAGCTTGTTTTAGATATTTTTGCTCAATCCAAGTTTACGTATAAATGTTCCAAAATTTCCAGCTTATCGACGAAACTCGACAGTTCCACTAGGGGTAGGTCAAAATGCTTCTTGGTCTCAGGACTCTTAATATCAGTATTGAAAACTTTTTCAAGTGGCTGTATTTCCTCGTGTAGCGTCATGTTTCCTTTGGACGTGCTCCTAGGTGTTAAAAAAATGAAGATTCCCCACTCAGTTTCTCCTTCCTTAATTATTAAGAGTTAAGGTTTAATTATTAGATGATCGACCTATTCCAGCTTTTTCACGAAACAAAAATATTTTTATTTCAGTTATGTTAATTGGGCGATAACAAAAGCAATAAACCCTCATTGAATAAATTATGTCTCTTGAGTAGACATTCATACGAAACACACAACCGCTTAGTGGCTATTTTAGTCTCAAACCATCTGTTAATTATTTTTCTCCCGGAGATGTTTTTTTAATCTCCATTTTAAGTAAAAACAGGAAATGAGCGTCTGATCGATGCCAAGTAAAAGAAGTCGGCGAATTTAATAATTTAGCTGATGTTATGCTATAGACAGTAGCAATAGTGACTTTTCATTTCCCTTTTGTGACAGGATTTTTAGTCTCTTAGGCATTATCAATTTTTTGCTTTGCTCCGTCTCCGGTTGCATTTATTATTCAGGCTGGTGGAAATGAGAACGGAATCGGGCGTCATTTTGTTATCTGTTTATTTTTAAGTGATTATCACTCGTACTCGTAAATTAGTTGTTGCGATTTTCAAGTTGTTGCTGCCAATCTACCGATAATGAAAGCTGAACTACCAAAATATTAAAATTTAGCGAATCTATGTACAAAACCAATATGCATTTCAGAACGCAGTTGCATTTTTCTGGAAAATTTAGTGAGTGAGCAATCTTTGAACTCTCGTTTTTTTTCTTGATGATTTACTTGATATTTTCATTTTCCTTTCTTTTTTATTTGAGACTTCGAGTCCTTTCGAGTTTTGGTCCTTAGAGTTCCGTAACAGTTAAGACGTCATGGCTCTTAATGTGCAGAAAATGATAATATTTATTACCAATGAATATATATTGTATGAACTATAAGTAACACCTGCTCTTTAAATAAAGTTTTTGTCTACTCTGATGTTAAGAAGATTGTTTGTTCTAAATTCTAGCTATTAGCGCTGTACGTTCGTTATTTTTCTATCCAACTAAAAACATTATCAGTCATCATGTGAAACCAGGCAGTCCTTCTTAAAATCTGCTCGTCGCAACATTATTAAATGAGCGACCACATCTGTTAAATCATTTATGTATAGCAACAGTGTGCTTCAAACTTGAGTTTATTTATCTATAAACACTTGAAAATTTAAATGAAACATTTATCGTCATTCCGTATCAGTCAGCACAACTTTAATTGAATTAACTCATTAACTGAATTTTTGAAAGGTCAAAAATAGCCCCGAAATTTTTTACCGGAAGAATATTGGTGCAAACCAATTTCCTATATTATCCAATACCTATACCCGAAAGTATAGTTCAAATCAGTCCCTTTCGGATTAAGTGTGTATTGTAACAGTGTTGTTTTCATCAGCCGTTAAACAGTATTTTCAACATATATTCAACATATAAAAATATAAAGGAATAATATTTTTTCCTTCTCCTGTTGACCGTTTCGGGCAGTTTCGGGATTTTCTATTTCGTATAATATTAAAGAGCTAATATCTTTACTATCACTGTAATTCATTAATAAAAAATGAATAGGTACTTGTAAACCCACTACGTAAACATGTACTTATATCGTCGTATTTTAAGAATACACCAAACCGGAATAATTAAATAATTACGTATATGTGACCCTAGAGATGATATTTCACTTATTTTCTTTATCAGTTTGTTAAATTTGATGCAATTATTTTTGCCAATGTAGTGTTTTGAAATAATGTTTATTATTAGATTCCTTGACGTCCAAGCTGATAAACTAACTTTAAGAGTTTAATTACTATTTTCTGAAGTTGTAGACAAATTTATTATAAAATCACATTTTGTGATATAAAAACGTAAAATATAGACAGTATTTTGAGCAGATAAAAAGACAGAAACAACCAGTTTTCTGGAAATAAAATGTACCTATCTGAAAAATAAATTTATAAACCCTGCAAGAGAGTCTGAACTAAATCAATGTCAGAGCTAAACATCCGCAGGCTAAGAAAAAGTATAACATAAATAAAATAAAAATGCTATTTTGCATTATAGATAGTTTTAAAGTTTTAGCAAAAGCCATATTGGTCCACATTGGTATTTATTTAAAAGTCAATTGAGTTTTATTTAAGATTAAAGTTCTATACCTCTCTCTTAAAAGCTTTCCTTAGACTGTGATATATCAAATCAGTTGCTTTACAAACCTATATGTTAATTATCTCATGTGTTTTGCGAGAAGCTCCCTACCAAAAAAATCGATGTTTGATACTTGTTGATTGAAATAAATTCCTGTTTCTGTTATCATGTTACTGCAAACTGATAAAGCACTTCTGCCATCCTTTATCATAATTAAATATCCTGAAAATTAAAAGCCTGATCCAAAAAAACGTATTTTAATCAGGAAAGTGAACGTTGAAGCATTAATACCTAGATGCATTTTGGAGGCTAGAAAACTTCAAATTTGTCGTGAAGCGTATTTGGTCAGCAGTGCTAAATACAACTTAAGTGCTTAAGCATTGGGTTATGAAACGTTCGAGGTGTTTTTTTTTCACCTATAAGATAATCAGACATCATCAAGCGAATTAATTTAATGAAAACACTTCAAGTCAGCTTAGGAAGGCATTCTATTTTTGCTTGAATTCTGTTTATTTGCAACTATGAGAAGTTGAGATAAAAACTGGAAAATACTTCAGAGTGCCTTATCTCCATGATTGGTCATTGGGGCTGAATACATATATAGGTCTCTAGATTGAAGCCTGAATTAGTGAGGCAATCATGATCAAGTTAGTCGCTCTTATTGCTACTATTGCAGCTTCAGTTCACGCGTCCCCAAGTGGACCGTTGAACGCTAGTTGTACTGTATCCAGCTACGATGATGTTGCTTCTGCAGTATCCAGTTGCACAACATTGACTTTGAAGGACATTACCGTACCTGCTGAAACCACCTTGCAGCTGAAATTGCAAACCGGTACCAAACTCACTTTGGAAGGTACTTTCAAATGGGAATATGCTGAATGGAAAGGGCCTCTCATGGAAATATCTGGAAGCAAAGTTACCGTAACTGGAAGCAGTGTCACTCTTGATGGACGTGGTAAGAACTTAGTTTGACTATCAATGCGAAGATTTGAAGATTTTATTTCGAAAAATGAGTTTCAACTGAACAAATTTGGAAATAGCGTTAATAGGTTTAGATTTTATGATTAATCTTGATGAATGAAATTTAATCGCAACGACCGTATTTGCACAATTGCCCACATATAATTGCAAATAGAGCTATTCCGAACTGACTAGAAGTGATATATTAGAGATGAGAGAATGATGGTATTCATAATGGTAAAATTAAAATGTGTTTTAAGAACCATAAAACCTATATAGATACCATGCAGAAGAGAGGCCCAGAGAACATACTTTTGTTTCATATCCTACATTATTCCAGGTGAAAATTAAAATATAATTTTTTAAATCAGTCAATCTCACAGGAAGCGATCTAGTACTAACATGCTATTTGCATTTAAAGTACGATAAATTTTGTATTATCTTTCAGTAATTTTATCATCATATTTCAGCTGTGCTAAAATAGCAATTGTCTGTTTGTGTGTATTTCCTATCACTTTCGTAAATGTGTAATATCAATTTCGTACTTTTTATTACAAAAATATGACGCCATTAGAATCAACTAGAACAATCAACACGTCTAATGATCTAGAAATGTCTTGAACTTATTTGAAAATAAGTGACAGGGTATGTAAAACAAGAAAATTTGTTTAAATAATCGATCCAAAGTTAATTTAATTTCCAGAAAATTAGGTGTAAACACATGATTAAACGTCGTCAAGTTTCGCAACAAGTCAAGTCTCTTATCTAATAATATTTCTAGAGTGGTTTTAAAATCCTTGGCAAGCTATACTTGTTTATTATATCATATATCAGAATATGGCTGAAAACTGTTTCAAACGTTAGCGCAAAACTCGTGAATCCAGTGAAAAATATTTACACATGTTTTAAAATTAAAAAATTCCAACGAAAGTCTAAAAATTGGCCCAAATGCAGACTAAAATATTGACTTACATTAGGAAATTCTGAATTCACAAGGGAAATCTATACTTAAATTTTAATCCAATAATCATAATCCCGCAAAAATAGGTTGTTACCAAAATCTCTTAATCAAAGTGTACTGAAAAGATGGAAAAAGTTGTTCGATTCATCCTCAAAAAAACAAGCTTTGTATAATTTTAATACATTATTGTGAAAATTTACATAAAACATAAAATTAGAATAATATGGATTCATCAAATAAAAATGATGGCCTTTTTGTGAAACTGCAACAGGTACACTAATTATAAAACCATGTAAAAACATAAGAAAATTGTACGTCACAAATATATTAAATTAATAAATAAATCTCGCTTCTGTCAACTTTGTCAACAAAATCTAATACTTTGAAGAAATAAGAACTCTGAGACTAAATTTGCGTTACTGCACTGATTTTTACAAAGACCATGTTTCTTGAATCATTTTTTTTTATGTTTAACGCGACAAAATACCAAATAAAAAATTATTCGATATTTAACCAGTGCAGAGTTTCTACAGCTACTCCTTTTTTCCGGAAAATGTGCCGATCTTGCAGTAATATATTACAACTTATTATACACTGCAGCCGTTAAGGCTTTAAGAGTATCTAATATAAAAGACAAAATACAGCAAACCAAATATCGAATTTCCTTAAAAATTTCTCCAAAGACGAAATGTTAAAAACTATGTTATGATATTCCTATCTTTCCTGGGTTTCAGTCAAAGTGTGAAGTAAAAATTTTGAAACATCGTTTATTTCATTACAACGAGACGTTCGACAAACTCAAGCTTTCAAGAAGGCAAAGACCTAAAAAGATGTTAATTTTTACCAATCATGAGTTTGTGTAAAATTTTAAGTCTGATGATGGCGCTGTTGTCTCGCCGAAACGTAATGAAATGAACGATGTTTCAAAATTTTTACTTCACACTTTGACTGAAACCCAGGAAAGATAGGAATATCATAACAAGTACACGCAGTCAGGAAAATAACTCAGAATAAGTTAAAAATTATATCGGTTATTTATAACAGTAGACAGTAATTTAAACAAATACCTCTCAAAAATAAAACGTTTGTCGCTAATATTGCAAGTAAAAGCCAATAAATAAACAAATTAAAAAATTAACACATTTTATTATTAATTAATAAATGTATTTTCAATTTTTGAACAGAAATTCCGCTGAAAGTGAAATACGTGAACAACGTGAACGTTTGAAACAAGCCGCGCTCTGTACTGCGTACGTAAAAAAATGGAACCAAATATGGAGATTTTAGGTAATTCGCGCAATAGTTGTGTTAAATCACAATTCTAGCTAAAGCACATATCAAACAATATTTAACGTTTTTTATATAAACAGGCAGCTTTATATAAAAGTCGGGAATAAAGTTGAAGTAGCAGTAACAATGATTCAATTGCTGATTTGCAGGAAGTTAATATTATTAACGCACCCATCTGAAAATTGTTAGTGTAAACTCATAATTGCGTTAATAATATAATAATCCCTACGTGTTCCGTAAAAGATTTTGTATGCAACTATAACGATTATTATTTCTATCATTGTTTGTCATTGACATTGACTAGCCATCCGGTACGGAAAATTAACTTTTAACGGTGTTTCGGAGCTTGTGCCAGATAAATCACAGAAGAAACGTCAAGGGGTTTTCGATCATTTTCTTCAATATTATTATTAACTCAAAAAACACTAGTGCAGTAAAACAGGTTACCATTACATGTTTTACACATTGATCGCCTTTGGGCCCAAGCACGAGGGCTCAAAATGTATTTGCCCGCTACAATAAAATAACATCTGAGTACGAATATTAATATGATTGAAAATATAACATAACCTTCAGCATAATGTTCAAATAGTATAAAAAGATGCGCAAGACAATAGAATTTTATGTGGGCTTCTCCCAGCTAGAGAGTCTTAGCTTAGTGTGGACGGGGAGCGCTAAAACCAAGCAAAATCCAGAATGGAAACTGAGACTCCTTAGCCCAATCTGCAGTTACCGGTTAACACAAATATCTACAAGAACACCTGCTAATTGTTGCCATGTTTTTAAGGTGCTAAATGGTGGGATGGAAAGGGAGACAAAGGAATCACCAAACCCAAATTCCTCAGAATCAAGACTACTGGAGGATCTACCCTGAAGGACATAAAGTTGTTGAACTGTCCTCACCAGTGTGTGTCCATCAATAGCGCCAGTGACACCACCATTGACAACTTCGATATTGAAGTTACTGCTGGAGATGATGTAAGTATGATTGATCATGAAATATCCGAGTGGAAAAGAAATTGACAAAACCTCAATGAACAGGCAGGGGGTCACAACACCGATGGATTCGACGTTTCCAGTTCCACTGGAATTACCGTAAAGAACAGCGTTGTGAAGAACCAAGATGACTGTGTTGCTGTGAATCAAGGATCCGACATGTTATTCGAAAAGCTGACATGTAGTGGAGGTCACGGATTGAGTTTGTCTGTCGGTCAGAGCACTGACAATGGTTCAGCAAACCAGGTCTCCAACATCACTTTTAGCGATTGCACTGTAACCAAATCTGATAATGGTATTCATGTCAAAACCCACACCGACGCTGGAACCGGTTCCGTTAAAGATGTCACCTATAAGAACATCAAGCTTTCAAGTAGGAACATATTTCTTAAATTTCTCACGACAAATAATAATTCGCTTGCTGATTGCAGGCATCAAGAAATACGGAATCAACGTTCAAGAGGATTACAAAAGCGGATCATCCAGTGGAACACCTAAAGCAAACATCCCAATCAGTAACTTGAAAATGAGTGGAATTACTGGCAGTATGACTGGCGACTCCAGTAGTATGCCCGTCTACATTCTCTGTGCAGATGGTGGATGCTCCAGCTGGACCTGGTCTGACGTCTCCATCACCAACGGAGTTAAGAGCAGCTCTTGCAACTATGAACCATCTGGTTACACCTGTTAGAAGCACGAACTGATCCCTTCAATAACAGCAGATATTATCAATATATAATGTATCAACAAAAGCTGCAGTTTATATGGTAGATTTTCTACTTGTCTGTGCTTTAAAATTTCTATCCATTACCCAACTTTCACTTTTAACAACAAAGCAATAAAGCTAATTGTTTGGATATGGGGAAACGAAGATAATGGGGTCACAATTGTTATTTTTCTTGTGAATTACTCTCATTATACATACATGGATGGGAAATATGACCATAATTCCTTCTCCAATAGGGTTCTGTTATAAATGCTTCTTCTCGCTATTAATTGTTTCCCATTTGGTAATTTGTATATGTGCACCTTCTTCTGCCCAGTCCACCTATGCATTTTAACACGCGAGTGGCATTTTATAATACAGCAGTTTTTCTCGAAAGCTACCAGGTTACCCTAATAAAAGCCTTTTTTCAAAAATACATCACACCTACATCACTTGAAAAGGGTAAAAGCGATATATTAAAGAAGCAGCTCTGCATGTTCAAATAAAAGTTTCACTTTATGGAGGTTTGGGCTGCAATTTAGGAATTATTCAAATTGAGATTTGCGTTGACTTTTGCCACCAAATTTACGTGCCGCTTTTTAACATTCATTAGGCCCAATTAAAATGCAGTTGCTACTGCAATTAATCGAGCAATTATCACTCTCCAGTTCCTAAAAATGCAGGTCCTCTTTATATTCGTTCTGAATTTTGGAATGTCTTGAAAAGAAACTTTCACCGGCTTTGGCGTCTAATTTACCTGCGTTTTCTAAATAATAATTGCGCCTAAACTAGTTGAGTTGAAAAAACAAAGGTTAGGGAAATAAATTGACAAAACCTTACTATAAGCGTGCTCAAATTTGTAACTTTCAAAAGTTTGTTTTAAATTAACTTTAGACGGAATTATTCGATCTGAGACTTATAACCTCTTTGAACACTAAATTACCGGTCCACTTGCAAAAATATATTATGCCCAAAGCAGTTGAGATAAAAAGCAGTTTTGCGGCAATAAATAGAGCCAACATCACTCTATATTGGCTGAAAATTTCGATTCTTTGGATCATTGGCATAAATTAGGAGAATCACTGAGGACGAGACTTGCTATAACTATATTTCAGTGCTAGTACATTTTTCTAGCTATCCAGTAAGGTTCATATATGCATATATAAAATATGTGTTCACATAAGCACATAATGAAACTCGTTTCTGTTTCTTATAGAATTGCGATAATTACAGCCTATTGGCGCATAATTTATGTTTTCAGCTTCAGTCAATGATTTTAAGGCAAATAACTGTACAGTTCGTGTGAAATAAGGTGCAGCCAAAGTTATTCATCTAAAATTCAAAAGTTTTCCGTTTATGAAAACGTTCAGACACTTTTCATTTTGTTCTTTACTACGCTTTTTTCATTGTATATACATTTTTACACACTGGCTCGAAAAATGGGTTAGGACGAAGAATTTTATTTTTGTGCCAACCGCGCCAACGAGGAATTGCCTCCATTCTAGGAGGTAACTGGCTCTCCTTTTAAGTATGGTGGACGTAGTTTGCCGAGTAACAGACAAATTCGCAATCCGAAGAAGGTTCATATGTATTCAGTGTTAAAAATGTTTAATGTATTGACGTAAGAATCAAATTTTGTGCGAAAATGCGTTGCAAACAATACCAAAGTGACAATAATGTTGTTTTTAAAGATAATCAGTACTTACTTGAGAGATGATTGAAAAACTAAGTTAATTCACCACCAATGGCGGACTTACTCAACCAGTTTCTATATCCAGCTCAAAAAGGTGAAATTTAAATTTTGGAAGAATAAAGTTCAAAACATAGCAGGTGTGAGACAACAATTCGTCCCTTTTTGCCAATATTATTTGCCGGCGTTTTAATCTGTATCGATTTCGGGACTAAAAGACCAAAAACAAAAGTACAGTAACCAGAATTTGGCATTTTTTTCAGATTTAAGTCTTCCCGATATACTGCGAAAATATCATTTTGTTTCTCATTCTACAATGACGGTTGTGAATTTTCATGCGAGTGGCTGCAATCCCATAAACTCATTAACTTTTTGACCAGAAATTACAAAAAGCGCAGCAGATGCGATTAAAATGAATTTCCTAGGATGTTTCGATTCAACTATTTTCAATTGACTGCCACAATAAGAAGTTACTGCTGGCTGTAATCCGACAGTGAGACGCATTTTATTGAAAAGGCTGCAGTCGCGATTAAACATACATTTTTAGACCAATATTTACAAGTAGCGCAAAAATCAGTATCTGGTGCAATTTAAATGACTGCTTTTCAGATTCAACTATTTTCAATGGATTCTGAATATTGCAAGTTACTGCTAGCTCTAGATCGGACGCTATACATATTTTATGCGGGCCACTCCAATCTCGTGATATCTGAAATTTTTAAACCAACATTTTTGTATATTTGTTCATCTTTGTACATGCTATCTTTAGAACTTAACTTCACCACTTGAACGCAAGTCTAAACGAAATATTGAGTAGATGCTTTTCTTAAATTAAAAAATAATGCAATTTTTGCGTAGAAAGAATTGTTTAATAGACACTTTGCTTAAACTGGAATGACCTGAAAAATAAAAGGAACTTTACAAATCTTCAGAGCGTTGAGGACGGTGACTTTTCCTAATATGTTTTGTAAACTTTCGCTCTGTGGTCGTTTTTCAAGATAGTCCTAATTACTTTCGGTAAAAACTGAATGCAATTATTTGGTTTTTGTGCCAAATTCGAAGCTGCAAAGGGTTTCATAAAGTTCCCTGCAAACCGATTTTTGGCTGAAGAAAATCATTAGAAAATAATGCTTTTTTGCGTTTTCGATTAAAAACTTTTAGTTTTATGATCGGTTTTGAAGAAAACCTTAACGGTTTTCGGTATAAAACTGGATCAATGTATTTTTGTTTTTGTCCCAAATTCGCCGACGAAAAAAGTTTTTGTAAAATTTTTACAAAGCTATAAATTTTTCTTGTAATTTTTCGCTTAACAGTCCTCCAGTTCATCAATACTTTTAAGTGAAACTCTATAAAATAGAGCAAAAAATTCAGTCGAAACTGAAAAGCCACATTTTTAACAAATTTTATTGTYTTCAGAGGAATGGAGGTGCCGAGATTTCCAAATAATCTGTTATACACTTTCGCTTATCCTGTTCGTTTTTTTATAGAAAATTATTTCATCTTGGTWCCAAATTCGAAGCTGGAAAGGGATTTCAAAACTTTTTACAACGCGARGAAGGATTCGAACTTTATTTCATAACTTTTCGGGGAAAATACCTTAAGATTATCAGCATTTTTAAGTTAAACTTTAGAAAATTGAGCATTTAGAAGAAAAAGTAACTTGGCGAAAATTTTTAAATTTGAAGACATTTTAAAAATATTATTAATAAATCTCAATTAAAATAAATCTAAAACAAGTAAAAAAAGTCGGCAACATTTTCCCAGCAACGGAACTGAGCTACTGCGACGGTGCTTTGGGTTGGCGTACCAAGCCATTGGCGCAGCACTGCGCCAACGCCTAAAAATTCACTGAGTTACCTAGTCCTACAC